AACTTCAGCTTCGTATTCAAAATTTTAAAACGACTTCAGTAAATATTTGAAACATGGCAATATATCGGCATTTTAACAGGTCAACATTGGAATTTATAGAACGTGTCAAGTAACACTCCAATTAAATAATACAAAGAACTGATAGATTGGGGAGGGGGCTATTCTCATGCGCGAAGGACCGAATGGGCGAAAAAAACTGGTGGGCCAAGGACCAAAGACAAAATTAGCCGAAAAGCAATTTTTAAAAAGAAGCTATTAGTTTGAACCCTTTCAAAATCGAAAAATGACCTTCGAAATATCTAGTCTTCGAGATTTAAAACGAACTGATTCTGCATTTATTATTTCAGAATTTCGAATACTGAATTATGCTTAGCAAACATACGTTGGCGCACTCGTTCTTTCTAGCAGGAGGTTTTCTCTCTAATAGTTTTTTTAAGTTAGGTCGAATGCGCAACGAATCGAAAATAGCCGAAATTGTACTTGCTCTGTAGTTGTGGCCATGAGAGTTCACATGATTGCACTTCCCATACACGAGTTTGTTCTGTTCTGGCGAGAAATGGGGCGAATTTAGCCGATGCGCTGCTGAGAAATGATCCACGCGAGTAAGCGATACCTTTGGCTGACTCATCTTATGGCCCAGACATACATGGCACTCTCAAAAAGGTGAAACGACACAAAACAAATCTGAAAAAATGCACAGCATTTTGTTAATTATTTTTCAAAACGGCAATGTAGAAAAAGAACTGCTGATATTCTGAACTTTATTTCTGCTTTGAATTTTGAGCTCTTTTTCCTTTTCCCCCTCCTGCAAATTTCTACAATTAAATTTGTTCATCGAATTGTCCAATTGTTATCAAAATTGACAAACAGAGACCCTACACCAAAAATTTGATGCTCATGTGAGAGGGGGAGGAAAAGGAAAAAGAGCCGACTTTTGAAGGATAGGAAGCAAATTGAGATTCGAGTGATTTTCCACACAACAATCGGTGCCCAAGAGAAACATCTTATGTGGTCGTAGCCATAATGCCTACGCCCTTTAGTATGCTTTAAACCACGTTCATAACATTTCCGTAACACAGTTTGAAATTTATTTTCAATATTACAAAACTATGATACGGGATTGATGAACATATAACTTAAGCACAAAATAAACAAACCCGGCAAAACTTCCACGACACTTTTTTAAAAATTGATGTTTGTTGCAGCTATACCTGTGGTCGGATAATTGTGGGCTTGTGCACAACTGTGGATGCTCCTGAGAGCAGCTTATTCACAGAAATAAGAATAAAAATTCGTTCTAAAGTACCTGGAAGGGATCTTGAATGTCTGAACAAGGGCTTTAAAGATCGATTATTTCTAAAAGGCCCTGGGCGGATTTGAACCACCGATCTCCTGTTTACTAGACAGGCGCTTTAACCGCTAAGCCACAGGACCATACTACTCCTCGATTACAATTTTCAAAATTCACTGGTAATAGATCTATATTATCTCAGCTTCGATTATTATTCGGAACGTCATTGTTCCGACTTTCGATACGAAAGTAACGGAATATTTGTGCTCCGGGTGGGTTTTTTTTCTTCAGACAAATTTCGACTTTTCAACTAGCCATTTTTGACGGAATTTTTTTATATCATTCGAAAGCTATTGTTGTCTTGAGCTCAAATTTGAAAAGATATTTCACCTGTGATCATTTTTCGTAAAGTTATGGGGGTTTAAAGATTGCCATTTTGGTCAATTTGGGACAATTAACGCGCGATATATTTCGCGCTATTAACGCGTAAGCGGAGATTTAATCCGTCTTAAAATCGTTCCAAATTGGTTGAAAGAAGCTTATTTGCCTTAATTGATTTGTTACAAGGAGCTAAATCTATCTTTCTGTACTTTATATGGCGTGTGGGGGGATGATTTTCAAACAAAATTTCAAATTTTAGAAAAAAAAATTTTTCATTTTATTTTATTACATTCAATTTTTTTTGATGTTAATACTGCTCCATAAAACCTTAAAAGGCAGTCGGAACATTCAGGGCTTCGCCCTGATACGAGCAGTCTTGTTTGGCTTTGGTCTCACTTGTTCAGATACAACTTGCAACGAATAATGTTTCCACAGCCAAACTAGATCCTTTAGCAAGCCTACGTATCATAATAGCATTACACTAGCGTCTATTGGCCTTGAGTAATGGTCTTGAATTATGGCCTTGTATAATGATGCCACTATTTGCTCAAAAAATGTTTCTGCCGCCATTGCTCTGTAAAATTGATGGAGTAATCTATGATTCATAAAGATTATCGATGTCTCCTAATGAGTTCGCTATCTAGCAACTACTCTAAAATATCTTCGAGTTGATTTAACTTCTTTACCCAGAAGTTGATGGGGGGATCAGTAACGCTGATGGTTCCCGATTCAATTTGACTTGTTTAAGCTCAAAGTAAAACTATTGTTTTTCTCAAAAAAGGCCACATGCGAGGAGCCGCCAAGCATGGCTCTTTACGCCAATGGCGATTGGTGTAGAGAGCCATGCTTGGGGGCTCCTCGCACGTGACCTGTTTTGAGAAAATGTGTCAAGCCAAAAAACCGCTGAAAAAATTTCGGATAACTCTTCTTTGTTATGAGCAATGATTATCCAGTTTACAACATATAATAGTATTCTTAATTTTCAGGCAAGTGCTATGTCAGCCATATTTAATCATAAGTTCATGTATGAAAATGGGAACTTTTTCAGTCAACTGCAATTTTTTGAACTATGGGTATTCAAATCCGGATCTCCGGGGGTAGATATAATTAAATTAACCGCCTTGTCTTCTACCATTTTTAATCATATTTTTCTTCTTACATATCAGGCAGCCTATTATGTGCTTTAATAAAGATATAGATATATCGTTACGCTGTGCATTTTACACATTAACTGGATCTCTTTAACTAAATCCCTCCCCCCCAAATTAGTTTTTTTTTTCAAATTAGTAAGTATTTTCTGCGTGGTGTGATAAAAGGATCCCACGTAGAATTTTAATTTAGCTATAATCGACAGTCATAGTGAAATCGGCAAACAGAACAATAGATTTTGAAGAAAAATGACTAGAAAAAATCATTAAAAAAAGTTTTTTTTGCAGATTTTTTTTGAATTTTTGATTCCTGAAATGGCATTTTAAATCCCCAAAACTGATTTTACTCGAGTAAAATGAAAATTAAGTATAGATAAGCTACTTGATGTGGCCTAAATTAAGCATAATTAAGCGTGCTCGCTGGCTTTCGTCGCTCGAAATTAGACGAAAAATCAATAACTTCAAACCGGTTTTCTCGACACGAGATAAAAAAAATTTCCGAATTTTTGAAGGTGGTTCGAATCAAGACTAAAAGGTCTTTATAATTATATACACTCAAACCTGTCCGATAATTATGTCTCGTACCTGATTTTGCGTGGAAAACAAAAAGAAATAAACTAAACCACGCCTGAATACAAATTTCCGCCCCATTTTCAATAGTCGGAACAATAACAATTCTTTCTATCAAATCCCTAACTTAAATACTTGCCCTATCAAAAAATACTGAAACTAAATGGCATTCTAGGATGTAAAATATAGCAAACACATATTTCAAATATGTTAATGAGTTCAAGAGAAATGAATATTGCCAACATACATATGCAAATCGCAACATACAGTGTCAGTTAGTCTCCCTTTTAAAACCTAGTCAACAATCAGTTGGAAGAGTCAATGAAAGCAAGAAATCACAAAACAAAACTGTCTTGACTCTTGAAAACTTTCAATTAACAAAAAAAAGTAGACCACCTTAAAGCTCCTTGAAATTCTTAGAAAATTTTATGATTGACTCTTTTTCGATAAGATTGACCCAATTGGAGAAAACTGGAACAATAAAATATTTTTTTTTGCTTGGAAATCTGAAAATTAAATTCTACTTTCGAACCTAGAAACTGATCACGTTTTTCGTGAGCTTAACTATACTGTTCGATAGGGCGTTTGTTTTCCTTTCAACGAAGGAAATGAACTGAACATATAAAGAAATCAAAATTCAAACCACGGAAAAAGTAAATTTGAGCGAGAAACAATTTCAAGACTGCCAAAAAACACCTCATCACGACTTATATAAGAGACTGAAATACGTTCACCGACTCTAAAATTGATTTTTTTCAAAAGGAAACTTTTTAAAACCTTATTTTTGAATTTCAAGAAAAAAAAATCACCTTATTAAGAATTTCAAGAGGACATTTTTAATGATATCTTATTGCTAATACTAACTTAATTTGAAAAAACCAATAAATTAATTATGAACTTTATCAAAAATGACAATACTTAAAATACAAAAAGTTGGTCAATCTTTTTCAGGCCAGTTCCATTTTTGTTATCTTAGTCCGTATTTCTCTTTACTTATAGCTTATGAACTGACTGCAATTATACAACAATCAAAAGTGAAACCGCTTAAAAAAGCCTGAGTAAAACAATTCTAAAAACTTTTTCTTGAAAAACATAACAAATATTCAGAAAACCTAAATGAGTCAAAATTCACTTCATTCATTAACACTTTTAAGCCAACTGCTGATTTCTATACCAGTTCAAAGCTCTAGGAATTTCAAGCACCCTTTATGAAAGTCATTCAAAAAAAATATCAAACTTGGGGAAAATGGATCACAACGTAACTTTTCAGTCAGCTAGGAATTCTTCAAGCTAAAATCCATTTTTTATACTTATTGAAGCTCTATTTTTGCGCAATTTGCGCTTTAGTCACATCCTAGACCAGAGTTCCTTAACCTTCACTTCGTGAAAAGGTCAGATCAAAACCAACAAACAAAATTTTGGCTAGAATCGTTCTAATTTGCGTTCTTCTCTCGGTACTATAGAACAATCACTCATTGCTCTAGAACCATCACTCGAACTTGGTGAAAACTTTCGTAAAAAAAAGTAACTTTCCAAAAAAAAACTGTCGTAGAACTCTCGAAAGGCGTAATGGAAGATTGTCTCCAAAACCGATTCTACAAAAACTACGGTTTAAAATGTGAGCTACTTAGTTGCAGATAATGACAACTTCATAGCGGCGAATTATTTATTAATGGAAGAGAATACATAACGTAACGATAAAAACCAAATGTCACAGCTTTTCAATTTTCATGAATAAAACAGCAAAACTATAATTGCTCAACTGAAATACCAAGAGAACAGCGCCATTTTAGCTCCAAAATTACAAATTGAGACAGTGATTAACTATTAGATCGAATTGCAACAAAACACTAACCTACAAATAAAAACCAGAAAACAGGGTTAAATAGCGCCAGCTACTGCACTCTAATTTGAACTGAATTAGAACAAGAGACAACGCACGTGAAGCTTTATATTAATGATTAATGAGATAGATCCGATTATACTACATAAACAGCTTCCAGTTATAATGAAGCTAACAATTTGTTAAAACCACCTTAAATCTCGAGATTTGTAGAAACCTAGGATCAATTTTGCTCCAACGTTTGTTATTGATTGAATAAGATGTTAGGCGCTTTTACATCTCGAGATTTGCATCTTCGGGTACATTTGCCCCGTGTATATAAGGAAAAACTTTGGTGATGTTTCCTATTCCTTTTGTCTTTCCCTGGCGCAGAAGGATCCGCATGCCTGGTCTGATGTACTCGCAGTGTCGGAGGAACCTGAACGTCACGTGGCCCTTCTGGTTCGTGAACAAACAAGGACCGCCTTCGTTGGAAGAAGATGTCTAAAATGCTCTTCATTTAAATAATGAATTAATTAATCAAGCCCACTTGTCCAAGGGGGAGACTATTATACAAGCTATTCAGCTTCTTACAGAGAACCGCTCTTGAGCTGTCGAGCTTATTCAAACTGAACGCAAATTTTTCATAATTACAAATCTTTGAGTAATTTGAGATATTTCAACCAAGTATTTACTTCATTCGAACTCACCCTAGTTCTTCCGGTTGGAGGAGGAGACCTGTCTATGTTAGAAACACTAGGAAGCGAGCTCGACTGGGCCCCATTTCCCCCAAAACCATCAATCCTCTCACACTCTTTCTCCTTCCCATCGAGGGAAACCGTTTTGTTCCGCTTAGGCGACACATCCATGCCATCCTGCAATGTTATACTTTTAATCACAGCCGATTGGACGATATTATCTATGTGAAGTGTACACTGGAAACTCGGTTGAATCTTTGTCGGGTGAAATAGAATCAGAATTTCGGCTTCCAGTTCCATCGACGCTTTGAACTTCGTCCCTGCCTGGCCATTTTCCGACATGTAATTAAAGCATCCAAGCTTGGATCCCATTTTCATGTAATGTATTGTCTTCTCTCTGCTTTGTTGGGTCTCGTCAGTGCCGGATCCGAAAGATGCCAGAAGCACCATGCCTTTTCGCACCGGGTTGTTTGGTTTGATTGCTATGGCTGCACTTTGGTTCTGACTCACAATAGAGCATGGTGCTCTCCCAGTCCTATGAAGAGAGGCCACTTTCACAGTTCTGAAGCTTCCGTCTTCATAGGGTCCCAGGTGCATTTCGTCTCCTCTCCGGATTACTCCCCTAACATCAAAAAAAACATGAAAAAAACTAAACAGTGCGCTAAATTTTGCGTTTCATGTAGTTTTAATAAGGCCTATCTTGACAATTTCTAATTTCACCAAAAAAGAAGTCTTTTTTCTTGTCAACGTTCCTTCTCGTAATACCAATTTTTTTACAGTACTGAAAAAATCGATCAAACCGTCTTTAAAAAAACTTAAGTGATAACGATTCTAGATCATGAATGTAAGTTCCATTTAAGCAGCCATTTGTCTGTCACTTGAAAAAAAAAACAGCTGAACTTACTTTTGAAGAATTCCTCCCACTACACATCCCACATTCGGAACAATGAAAGTCTCGTCAATCTTGAAATCTGCATCCGGCTCGTCGTGTTCAAAGCAGTCATCTTCTTTAACTTCATCCTCATCATCGTCGCCAAAAAAACTACAAAAAGAGGAGCTCACTCTATCATTTGACAAGCAAGATGAAGACTCTTCGGTCACATTTCTCTGTGGGAAGATGTTAAGGAAGTCTTTTAGAAGGTCCATTCCTTGCCCATTGACACTGGATGTCACAAACACTGGGACAATTCTGAGAAAATAAACAAAAATAATTAAGAGTTGAATTGTTCAAATCGTGAAAAAATGAGAACGTAAATAGAAAAGAGTTGTTTTATATTTTCTTAATATGCTTACTCATTCTAAAGGCAAATTTTCGACATTCATTTCAGAAAAAGTCTTTGATTTTCTACACGAAGAACTGCAGGCATCTCCTTACCAATTTTTGGGATTCTACCTAATGCAGAAGCACTTCGCAAGCAAAAGCAAAAATGCGCCCTTTGGTTGGTCAACAATCGTTTAAAAACAAGTAGCAAGCCCATCTCCAATATTCAATTGGCTTGCACAAAATTAGTTGTTCTGATCAAGCTATCCAAGCAATGAAACCATGAACAATTCAAGTTGAGCCATATCCGTAAATTGTTTTGAAAAATTTAATGTTTCATAGAACGAATCGGTTCCCGAAAAATTGAAGTTTTTCTTAGCAAGCTAATCAAGCTATGAAACTTTGAAAAATTTTGAAATGTTTCATGAAGCAAATCAGATGGCAAAAAGTTAGGTTATCCTATAGAAGCTATTCAAGCGATGAAATATTGAAAAATCATCAGCTTGCGTGAAGTTCAAGTTTTTCTAAGGAAGCAACATAAGCCTTTAAACTTTCAAAGAAATTCAAGTTATTTCATAGACTGATTTGGTTCGCAAAAACACCAAGCTTTTCTAAGCAAGCTATTAGAGAGCTATGCAACTTTGAATTTTTTAGAGTTATTTCGTAGACTGAATCGTTTCGCGTTTTTCTAACGCTTTTTAAGCAAGAAATTTTGAAATAACTAAAGTTATTTCAGAAACAGAATCAGTTCGCGAAAAACTAAGTTTTTTAAGCAAGCTAATCAAGCTATGTTATTTTAAAACTAAGTTATTTCTTGGACAAAATTCGCTCGGGAAAAATTTAAATTTTTCTAAGCAAACTAGAGCTATAAAACTTTGAATTATTTCAAGTTATTTCAAAGACCGAATCGGTTCGCGAATTGTTTAAGTTTCTCTAAGCCATGCTTTTTAAGCCATGAAACGTTGAAATATTTCCAATTATTTCATAGACTGAATCAGTTCGCGAACAAATTCAGCTTTTCTAAGCCAGCTTTTTTTGATTTATAACAAATTTTGAATTATAACAAGTTTTTTCATTGACAGAATCAAATCGCAAAAGTTTAATTCAATTTTTTCAGCAAGCTTTTCAATCTAGGATACTTTGAAACATTTAAAAATGTTCCCTTGACCGAATCGTTTTGCAAAAAGCTTAAAATTTTTAAAGCAATCTTTCCAAGCCAGGAAACTTTAAAATACTTCAAAATATTTCAAAGAACTAATCGTTTTGCGAAAAATTCAAGTTTTTCTCAGCAAGCCATTCAAGCAAGGAACTTTGAAAAATGTCATTTTGTTTTACAGAGCAAATCAACTTTTGAGAAAATTCAATTTTTTAAGCAAGCTATTCAGGCGATGAAACTTTCAAGTTAGAAAAATTTCAAGTTATTTCATAACGCAGATTATAACGCTAGAGAATTGATTTTTGTCTGAAAAAAATTCAAGAACATTCCAGACATAAGAAGCTTTGAAAATTATAAAATGAAAATATTCCTCGTCTTCTCTTAAAAGTAAAGCCTAAGGATTTTTTATAACGTTGCTTTCGACAAAGCGAAATCATTGCGCTCAGTTTGTGAAAAAAACTAAAATTTTCTAATCAAGTTATTTCGTTGACCGAAAATTTTTTAAACAAGCTATTCAGCTTACGAAACTTTGAAATATTGCAAGTTATTTCGAGGTCTAAATCGGTTCGCGAAAAATTGAAGTATTTTCTAAACAAGCTTTTAAAGCTATGAAAATTTGAAAAATTACAAATTATTTCGACCGAATCGGTTCGCCAAAGTTAAAGCTTTTCTAAGCAACATTTTAAAACTCTGAAACTTTGAATGTTTTCAAGTTACTTCATAGACGGATTCGGTTCGTGAAAGTTTGTTTTTCTAAGCAAGCTTTTGAAGCTATAATATTTTGAATTATTGCAAATTTTTTCATAGACTGAATCGGTTCACGAAAAGCTTAGGTTTTTTGGAGCAAGCTAGTTAAGCTATGAAACTCTAAATTATTTCAAGTTATTTCATAGATTGAATCGGTTCGCGAAAAATTAAAGTTTTTCTAAGCAAGCTCCTAGAGCTATGCAACTTTCAAATATTTCAAGTTATTTCGTAAACCGAAACGATTCGCGAAAAACTTTAAAACTTTAAACTAATCAAGCTATTAAATTTTGAAATTTTGCAAGTTATTTCTTGGACTGAATCGGTTCGCGAAAAGTTTCTGTTTTTCTAAACAAGCTTTAAGTTTGAGTTAGTTCATGTTAATTAAGAGTAACTCGGTTCGCGAAAAAGTTTTTATAAGCAAGCTTTTCAAGCTATGAAACTTTGAAATATCTTAAGCATTGTGTTTAGTTAAACATTGCGTCCATAGCGGATACCGACTTTTATATATTAAATGAAAGTCGGAATGTGCTATGGTCGCATTGTTTAACTGAACACAATTCTTAAGAATTAACAGGCGATAATGTTTAAAAGTCTATCGAGCGTAATGTTAAAGAATCATTCAGAGCAACCCGCAGAGGAAGATGAACTCGATCCAACTTCAAGGCTAGACAGTACCTGCCTAATTTTTGTCCAAAATTTGATTTCTGTCTGGATCTATGAAATAAATGGAAAAGGGTTTCTTTTTTAGCATGGAGGTTGCTGCTTTTAAGTGATTCGTTCCAGACTAAACTTTTGACATCCGAGTTCCAGACAGAAATGAAATTTTGGACAAAAATTAGGCAGGTACTGTCTAGCCTTGAAGTTGGATCGAGTTCATCTTCCTCTGGGGGTTGCTCTGAATGATTCTTAAACGTTATACTCGATAGCTTTTTCAACATTATCTCCTAGTAATTCTTAAGCATTGTGTTCAGTTAAACATTGCGTCCATAGCGCATTCCGACTTTCATTTGATATATATGATATCAAGAAAGAAGCCATAAAATACTGTTGAATACCAATTTGCCAAATCAGGTGTAGCCCGGATCTAGCGTCACTCAACTTAACCTTTCTACCCAAGAACATGGCTAGGTGATGTTTTTATATTTAAATACAGTGATCAAAAACTAACTGTTCTGGTCTGAATCGTTTAGACACAGCCTTGACCGCGTCCTCTTTCTTCTCCACGAACAGACACATCTTGTCCACTCCAGGGAACTCGAGAACATTCTTGATCTGAGCCTTCATGTTCTCCAGGGCAGCTGGGCTGAGAAGATCTGCCTTGGTGATCAGAATAGCACAGGGGATGTTCAGTGCTAGAGCGAGGGCAAAGTGTTCGCGTGTGGTGTCCACTGAAAACATTTCAATTCAGGGCTGGCATCCTTGCGTCAAAAAATTAAAACATCATGACAGACTTCTCAACGTCATCAACGAAAACATGTCATTTTTCAAAATTAATTTTCGCAAGGTGTGTATCGATGCAATTTAATTAACATCTCGTTTTGTTTCGGTTCCAATTTAAACAGAAAAGAGAAGCAAAGCTTTAACTGAGAAATGCGAGATGCGTTATTTCAAAAACCGGATTTCGGCCGAAACCTAGGTTGTCTCTCTGCTTTTTTGAGACATCGTAACTTTTTCTTTAAAAAAAATTGGGGGTAGCCAATTATAAAGGTAGGCTTTCAACAACCTGTTATTTCGATTAAACCTATGATTTCAGTTTTGGCAGGCTAGTTATCGAGCAGATCAAAAAACGGTCAACAAATCAAAAATTTGCTATTTCCGAGAATCTTAGCTTTTGTGAAAAAAAAAAAAAGAGAAATTGAGATCCACGCGACCTTTTTGGACTGCTCGATAATATTCACGCAACCTGAAATTTCTATTGAACCCCAAAACTCAGCTTTGCGGGGTAGTACTTATAAAAACTGTCATAAAATCAAAACTCCGAGGGCAATAACTATTTATTTCAAAAAAAAATTGGGAGTAGTCACGTATTCAAAGAAGCGTCTAATAGACCATTCTTTGGATTGAACAAAAATCTCAAATTTGGGATGTTAGTTTTGGAGAAAAGTCAAAAAAGATTCAAAATACGGTCAAAAAAATAGGGAATTTGACTATTCCGAGGGACATAACTTCATGTGAAAAAATTAGGGATCTTTTTAGGGAAGCTTTCAAATGCACTCTTTTCATTGAATTAAAACCTGATATGAAAGGGTAATTTTTCAGACGGGATGTGGATAATCGTTCCATTTGAATTGACGATCTTTCCACTGACACTCCAAGTTTGAAAATCGGTCGATTAATTTTTGAGAACTAAAACTTTTTGCAAAGAGTGAAAAAAATTCCAAAGCATCAAAAAAATAAAATAAAAAACTCAATAACATTAATTTTCATATTTCCTGTTTTTTTCATCAAATAGGAATTCTAGACTAACAAGCCAAGCAATACAATGGAATTTTAAATTTGCAACTGAACAAAACCGAGGCGGAAAAAAAGCCGACAATCTTCAAAGCGACACCACTTGAGCCGAAAAAAAGGTTTTATAAAAACTTCAAGGATTGGAGACCCCGCTAACGCTACAAAGAACAACACTCGTATTGCCATGATACTCGCTTACAGCACAAGATAAACTCATGATGTGGTAACTAAGACGTAACCAGATAAACGTAAGTCCGACAAATCAGATAAACGTAAGTCCAGAAGAACAGATAAACGTAAGTCCGACAAATCAATTTTTAACCAAGAACAATTTTTCAATTGCAATTTTTTTATTGCAAAGTCGATGGCGTTACCGTAAACTCTAAACCATATGCGAGGGAACCTGGAAGTTGTTACACAGAGGCGAAGCTGAGCTCGCATCACTTGCGATACAAAACAAAAAAGCCGCTAAGTCAGAAAAAAAATCAAAAAAACACGAAAATTTCGAAAAAAAACTAGATCTATCAAAAAAGGCTAGTTATCAAACAAAAAAACAAGTGAAGACAATTGAATGTGAACCAAGCATCCAAAGAAAATTTACCAAACGGTAACAAAGCCGAAAAATATCTTGGTAGAAACCCTTTAGGCCGAAAAAAATCAACAAAACTCAAGTAAATAAGTTCCCCTCACCCTCAAGACACAGACACGCACACACAATTTTTTTCGCTCGTCGAAAGTCGCAACCTGGCCATCTAATCGACATAATATAGGCCAAAACCTATCCAGCCAAAAAAAAAGGAAAAAAGCCGGAAAAAAGTTGTCATTGAAAAATAGAACTAGAATTTTTACACAGAGGCGAAGAAGTGGAGCTTCGCGCCACTTACGATGCAAAAACTGTAAGTGAAGAAAACAGTTATCAATAAATAAGATTACAAAATTGTTGCATTAAAATTTTTCAAAATCAACCTACCTCCAATTTACTTTTTAAACCTGCCTGCTATGCATCGAAGTCTTCCGAAGACACGCGATGGAACCATTGGTAAACTGCATTGACGAAAGAATCAAAAACCATTTACTTTTTAAATAATTAAATGAAAGACACATAATACAGAACAAAATTATTCAATTTTTCAAATGCCTAGACAAATAAGATTAGAAACACAACAAACGTGGTCTGAAAACGCTGAAAATGATTCTTAAAAAAATAACACTAATGACAACAAGAAATTCAGCAAAAACTTTTGAAAATCAATTCCAAAACAATTCTTTAAATTATTTTTCATGATTTCAACAGAAAATAGATCAGAAAAAAAACGAATAAAACAAAAATTAGACAAAGTTTATAAAATATCAAAAAATTTAAAGCAACTATGAAGCCAAAAAAACTCCGATTTCCATTTCCAAATAAAAAAGAAAATCCGATTAGCGAAAAAATTAAGTTGACAGAAAAAAAACGGTTTACCGAAAAATTAAGCAGAAAAAATTTAACAAATTCTAAACAGAAGATAAGCCCTTTAACTTTTCTATAGAAAAAAGAAGCCCGAAAACAGATCAAAATTAACTAAACATGAGAAAAAAATGAAACACATTTTTTAATTAGCGAACAAAAAAAGGGAAAATATTAAATTCACCCAGCAATTCGGAACAAAATTATCTCAAACTTGTATATTAACAATTTCTGATTTGATAGCATTTGAAGCTTTCTTGGACGAAACTACAATGAAACTAGGCAAAATTGGAGGAACAAAAAATTAGCAGACAGCAACTCAAATTGACTTTGCAAAACGATGATCTCGACTATGAATTTTAATTTAAATTATCAAAAATTTGACTCAAAAAAATTTCAATTGTAGAAAAACTTAACAGAAAAAAGCAAAAAAATTGCACAAAAAAAATAAACTCAATTATCTCACCAGAAAAATAAAAACAGCTAATTGAACAAACAAAAGCGTTGTTCCAACCAAAGGTTAAAACCAAAATCATTACTCAAACTGAAAACAAAAAAAATATTTTTCAAAAAATTTATTGGACATTTTTTTTCATTTTAAAAATTTTCAGTTTTATTAGGAAAGTCTGCGAAAGTGATTTAGATTTATCCAAATTAATTTGTAAGGCTTCAAGTATTTTTATAAAAGCAACAAAAAGTAATTGAAAAAAAATCATTCGGAAAATGAGCCGACTGAATTAAAGCCGACACTCAAGCGCCGAAAAAAACCGACATTTTTGGCAACTCAACAGGCAAAAAAGGCCCATAACTAACAATGCACATACTACATTTATCTCTGCAGTAAAACACGTGCCAGCTCACGTACGAATTTTGTGGACAAAGTTGTTTACGGGAAAAGTCTAGTACCCGGTTGCAAGGGTAACCGGGTATCGCAAGGGTAAAGAGTCAGTAAAAAAGCAAGTTGAGAACTTGTAAGAAAAGTACTTTACGGAAAAAAAAGTCGTCATATTACAAGACACTTTCTTTCACAAGAGTAAACACTCGGAGCTAATCTAGACGCCAACTTCCAAATAGTTTTTTCTGGTTCCCTGGAGCGAAAACTGCGACAGAACATTGATTTCTTACATGCCTCAGAAAAATTATCTTCAAAAACATGTAAAGTATTCAAAAAAATGTTTCCCACTGAACTGTTTTATAATTCAACTTGAAAAGGGAGCAAAAGCCACGATTCCTTGGTTTTTGACTTACAAACAAATGTAACACTAAGTGTTACATTTGTTTGTATGTCTAAGACCATGTTAAGACTCAGTGATAATTCAGTCTTAACTGTCTCCAATCGTCCTTTTTTGGTTAAGAAGTCGATTAGTATCGTTAATAGTATGCTCAAACTCGTCAATAGGCTATCAATTAAGACTGGAGTTTCCCGCAATTTACATGAAATCCTTTGAATGATTACTCATATCATGATCATGCATAATTTCCGTACCTATTCCCTGGTTGGCAGCAATGAGTATGAGTGCGTAGTCTGGATAATAGCCAGTCAGTCCAAATATGGTCGTCTTCAGACTCTTCTGGCAGCCTGGGAGGTCAATGAAAGTGATGAGTTTGGAGGACATCTCACAGATCTCCTCCTTGTTACGCACCACACTGTAGTCCACGGGCTGAAACAAAACAAAAACAACCTTAAGTTATAACTGCTTATTTATAAACGAAAGGACCAACATACAAGCTGTTCAGAGAACCACTTTTTCTCCCCCGATTCAATCAAGCGATGATCACATAGCATGGTTGAGTATATCATTTTACTTCAAAAGTAATTGTAAAAGTTTTTAAAAATCATTTTCTCATACTTGATTTTTTTATGGTCCTTAATTTCATTTTTGCGGACTGATTAATGTATTCTGCGCTTATCACTAACATGTCTCCTGAGACCCTTTCTAAGAAATCCAAATCAAAGGCGTTTCTATTTTGTCACCACCTGCTAAGCTTCAATTTGATCTCTCAGTGACTCTAATTTCACAATCACGTCCAAAATGACATACCTTGCCATGTGAGTCGAATCCCATGATTTCATGGCACACACTGGAAGTATGTCCAGTTTGTATCTCGTGTGGGTGTCTCAGTAGATTCAGTCTGGCCCTGCCCCGCCCACTGTCCAGCTGTCGTGTGGTGAGCACTCCCACCAGAGTAGACTTGCCACAGTCAACATTCCCAAGCACACACACTCGCATGTCGATGAACTGAAACAATCAAACAATCTCCGCTTCACAATCAAAAGGTCAGGGGTTCGAGGCTCATTATTCTCCATACTCCTTACACAGCATAGATGCTACACAGCCCAGAGAAAAATACATGTCTTATTAAGATGCACATCAGCACATGAGTAGCTCTTATAACTTACGTGAATATAGCGCTTTAACTTAAACCATATTTAGCCCATGATTTGTTCTGATATCACGAAACAAAATATAACTTTCTCGAAAATGTTCCAGTCGAAAACTCGCATTTTTCAAACAAAATTTTTTTCCTTCGTAAATCGAAAATATTAAAATGTTGTATTACTTTTTTGCCCTAAAAGAACAACACATACCGGTTTATCAGATGGTATCTGTCGAACCAACACCTCCACAGCCTTGGTCTGTGCCACAGGATCCACCACAACCTCCCTCAGAGTCGTTATATCCGCATTCAGCCTCTGAGCCATCTTGTTCAGAGTAGCCAGACTAGTATCCAGCTCACTCTGACACAGTCCCAAAACAGCCCCTCGGTCCTCAACTCCTATTTGGTAAATTGCCTCTCCGTGTCCCTCTCGCAATCTCCACTTCATCTGGGTGACCAGATGTTCCATTCTGGAGTCGGTAGGGTTCACCAACTTCAGTTTGAACTCCACATTTCCCTCCTCTACTTCAGGCTGCACCTATCGAATACAAAAAAAAGTTAAAATTGCCACTTATACGTGAACGAATAAAGTTTTGTTATTCATTACCTGTCTAGTTTCTTTTTTTTCCAAATTTTTTGCTAGACGGGGGGAAAATGCTAAAAAAAAAGCCATTCGGGAGATGTTTTGCTCGGAGATTTCCAAACGATCAAACAGAATCTTACCAAACAAAAACTGTTCCTCGTCAAAAAAAACCGTTAGCAGATTAGTCTAGCTTTGTTGAATTTAGTTTCCATCATAAAATGTAGGTTTGTAAGCATCAGGATCACATCAATTCTTGGGGTGGAAGAAATTAATAAGCAGTATAATGGATTTCTGAAACTGACCTGGTGCTGACAGTCGTCGTTGTGACTCATCAACTGGGCCTCGTAGCTGTGTTCGTTCCCATCCTCCTCGCTCACTCCAAACAAGCCAATCAACTCATCCATATTTTCCCTCACAATCTGTTCACGTTCTTTGTTTCTCCTTCACACTTTTCCAAATTTATTTTTATTTCAAGATTGCTGTACTGCAATATTAAGTTCGAAATAAGAATTGCAAGTAGTGATCAAATAATGATGATTTAGTTATTATTTTCAAGTATTTCTTCTGTCAGTTTCTTTCTAAGGAGACTTTAACTCTTTCAACGTAGATGGGGTTTTCTGCGTCGTGGTTTCTGAATTAATCAGTTTTTCTTTCACGTTGTGATGTTTCGTATTAGGAAGCACTCTTTGAAGTAATGATTCCAGTAAATCGGTCTTGCTGTTGTTGTTACTGTTGTCCGATCGTCTTGTGGTGAAACTAGTACCCTCAGAACTTGGGTTGGAACTGGATGGCACTTAACTTTGTCTTGCTCGGTTGCTGTAGTAGTCGGAGGTTGTGTCGAGATGTTTTCTGTTCGTGTTCTTGAGGAGCACCGCATGTCGGTTGAAGTGATTTAGTTCAAGTCTAGTTCAAAGTCATAGTTGCTAGGGATTTCTGATCTGTGCTACTACAGATTCATTTAGCCAGACTGAAACAAAAGCAATTTCACAATAAGTACAGCTTAGAGAATTCTTTTTTGATACTCGAAATCAAAAATATAGGGCAGGCGGGGCTTCCAACTATTTTTTTTAAAAAAAAGGTTATTATTCAATTACTGCTAAAAAATCAAAACAAGAACTTGAACATAAAACCTAATAACTAAAAACTATTTAATAAAAAGTAACCAGTTGGCAACCCTGAGGGCAGGAGTCTTGTTCAAACTCATGAATTGAAAAAATTTTCTCGACAAGGACCAAAAGGAATGGGGCATGTTTTGCCCCTCACGGTGACCAGCAAATAAGACGACAGCCGTTAAGACGACAGCCGTTTTTGATGAGACTTTAAGATGACGCTACACGCAAGTCTCCACATTGTATTTCTGAGAACTTTAAACCGCTTAAATTCTAACTGCTCATTTTACGATTATAAACACTTAGTTGTCGTCTTAATGTCTTGTCGTCTTTATGTCTTGTCTTCTTAATGCCCTGTCGCAATATTTACCTAGCACCGCCCATCGCACGTTTCGCCCCACCTTTATTACGGCACTTTGTGTATAATATTAAGAGCTTTAGTCACTTACCGATTGAAAAAAATATATCGCAGTACCTGCGAATCTGGTTCAAAATAAAAATATACACTTGAAGTCTTGATCGTCAAATGTTTTATCAATTATTACAATCAGTCTGAGTAATACAAGCAATTTGATCAAAATACAAAGCAAATTTTCTCAGGTGTATTTATATATGACAGGATGACCTTTATTTAAACACCTGAATATTTAGCTGATGCAATTTGGCCCGAAGCAAGAAAATACGCTTTACATTGTGTGCGGTGCAAAATATTAAACGAACCATCTAATCCTTCTGACGTCAAGTAACAAAAATAGAGATTACAATACTTTTCAAATTCCGTCAGAAATTAAAAATAGAATACCAACTTCTGCTCTTATACCAAATTAAAGCAGTTGGGAAGCACGGAAACAAATCGACACAATGAGTTCAACTGTTTCATTCATTCTATCGGGTATCACATAAGCGTGAAAAAAATGAACATTTAATATCATAATAGTGGACATTTTGTCTATGATAAACCACATGCAAACTAATTTTAAAAACTAGCATAATCAACGACAGATTATAAGATTTAATACAGCTGCGCCAGACGTGGAGTTATTGAAAACTACAGAAAGTTTGTCGATAATTATGTAGTTTCTGGTGAAGTCCACATTCAATTCTTGATGTAAATTGATATTCGCCAGTGCATATATGGTACCAGTTCATTTTGTAAGCGAAGTTCTGTTTATCTTTGATTGATTGTCTTTTTTCAGAGAAGCAAAAACTATTAACCAGAAACGAAATAGAGCTTCGTACCACATGCAAAACATTTAACATAGAAAGCAAGCTCGCCGACAAAAAAACTAGATGAAGCCTTTTATGTCAAAAAAAAACTTTAAAAAATGTTATAAAATAGTTCTATCAACATTTTTTGACTCGTCGGAATTTTTCACACAATTGCTCAACTGCCAGTCTTAAACTAGCATTGAAACAAAACTTATGATACCGTAAATAATCCGCCAAAATTTGGGTATACTTTCGTTGAGCCGAAAAACATCTGTTAACAAACCCAAGCAAACATTAACGAAAATATATTGTAGCTTCTCGCACAATATCGCACAGACGTGGAGTTATTGAAAACTACAGAAATTTTTTTGACAACTTTGTAGTTTCTGGCGAAGTCCACATTCAATTCTTGACGTAAATTGACATTCATCAGTGCATATTTTTTCGATTGGAAGCTTAACACAGAGGTTAACACAGAGCTTTGCACCATTTGCGATACAACACACATAAAAACCATTAATGAAAAAAAAATGTTGACAAAAACTAAGTCTACCAAAGTTTTATATTCGTAAGTTTCGATAGAATTTCATTCTAGGCAAATAGTCAGACTGAATATCAAATTAGCAACTTGACAAAACTTACGAAGAGGAAACAAAGCCTGCAACCTTTGAGCAGATACGAACTGAGCCGGAAAAAAAATGATTTTAATGAAGAATGAACAACAATTGCAACTAACATGATACTTATGATACTTGCTTACAGCACAAGAAGAATCTAAGCCAACAAAAACTGAGCAGCTAAACAAAATCCGACACCGACAAATCAATTTTAACCGGTAAAAATTTTCAATTGTATATTTAAAAAAAAAAAACAAATCCGGCCGTCACCCGAACTGCCAACCTTAGGTGGCTTAAGCAACGTCGTTTTCCCTAGTCTAAGTTGAAAGTAGCCTGGAGGTTGTCAAGGTTAAATAATTCACCACGTTGAAAATTTGTAAGAATAGTTGTTTATAGGAAAATGTCTAGTTCCGAGTACAATACACTTGCTCTGGCGACTGTAATAAGATCACAAGGAAACATAGTAAACAGATAGTTTGTGTCAATGAACAAAGAAACAACAAACCATTTATTTTGAAAAATATTTCATAACAATGAATACACAGCCCTAAAAATTGTCGAATTGTAGTAACAAAACAAATTGAGAAAACTGGATCGAAGGTAAAATATCTAAGTCTTTATCCTGGAAAAAACTTAAAAGACGATTTAAATAAGTGTCTTAACAATATTTAAAAATAGAAATATAGTTAAAATCAATCACTCTTTATGAAAACAGGTTTTGACAATGAAAACAGATACAAACCGGAAACTCGAGAAAACGTTTCTTTAGGTGAACTCTTTTTAATCTTAAATAGGAAAAAATCTTTTAAACAAAAACCTGCTCAAAAATCTTTAAAAAAAAAGTCTTTTGAAAAAACAGAAACAAACGTGAAACTTCGAAAGGCTTTTTAGAATATCAAATAGAAATCGGTATGACGAACGTTTCTTAGGAAAAACTTCTCAAATTAAAACCACGGCATTGATGTTCTGAATCGGCAAAATTCAGCAGAGGGACAAAAATTTGAAATATTCAAAGTTTTCTGTTTGCTAAAAAGAGGTCCCGACTGGAATTGAACTTCCGCGCTTGTCGTCAAGCATGGGTGTTAGAGCAAATTAGAAGAAAGCTGAACCTTCAAAAAAAATCGGTCTGCGAGAACTAAGCCGACAAAAATTAACAGATGGGTGAAAATCCGAAATTGCAAACACTCAAGTTTGCAAAATAAACATGTCTCCGCCGGATTCGAACCGGAGGCCTTTGCCGTCTCAAGCGGATGTGTTACCTTTATGCCAGATGCGCCGGATAGATGAAGGAAATTAACTTGATAAAAAAAGTATATAGGTGAGTCTAGAAAGTTATTTACTGTAGCAATCTAGCACCCGATTGGAAGACTCTTGCTCATCGCAAGAATAATAACCAACCGTAAGCTGGAGAAAAAATTTCTTTTAAAGATTTCTTTTTAAAATAAACAAGGAAAAAAGACCTTTTCAACAGTAACAGTTCAAAGCTGTCATAAAAAATAGTTGAAAAACTTTTGAAAAAATGTGAAGTTGCGGAAAGCTTCACCATGTAAAGTTAGTGCTTATTATTATAATCATGTAAAAAGGGCTTAAACGGGGGACGAAGTGATATCTCAATACAAGCTCTGAGTTTAAGTGAGAGTAGATGAATTGAACGTTGAAATCAACAAATCGCATTTTTGAAGATAATTTCAGGGCTAAAAGAGCCGTAGACGCAAAAAAAATTGAATATAATATGAGCTTAACCTAAATTTACTATTAATAATTTTGACCATTCTGTCAAAGTCTAGTACCCGATTACAATACCCTTGCATATCGTAAGAGTAAAAGAGATGAAATAAGACATAGCAAAACATGGTTTTTTATGCACGATTGAAAAAAAAAACTATGCGAATAGGCACAAAATGGATGCTAGATGAAAATCCCCAGTATAGCAGTAGCGTTTGAACCTATTTGCACAGTATAGCTTTGTAAAGATAGACTAGCTAAAATATGTAGATATAGCGTATAATTCTTCAACACGGCTAAGTGTCTTGCTCAATTAAATAATTTATAGATTCTACCATATTTTTTGCGCCATTTAACTTTCGTTATTGCAGAGCGTAGAAGCACTTTCTTTTAGCAAGTGAATCACAATTGAACTTTAAAAAATCATAAATCGAACCAATTTCTGATAATTTCTTTTAAAAAAAGGATAAGAATAATATTACCTAAATACATATCTTCCCTTCGTTCATTAACACTCAACTAACCGAACAAAACAGTCATGAGAAAAGAATAAACCGTACTTGTGCAAACTTTTGAGCAGACAACTTTTGAAAATTAAAAACATCCTAGTACTGATATTACCTCTCCGATCACACCACTGACAACTGAAGCCGTTAAAAACAATTTTGCCGACAAAAAGGTTTTTCTCGAAAATCCAACTTTGAATACAGACATATTAAAACATGGTATCTGAGATAAGTCAGTTAGCCAACAAAAACCTTTGAGAAAATGAGCATATCAGCAAACCAGCTCAAAAATAAGGCAAAACTGATCCAGAACAAAAATCCAGTATCCGACTAAAACACTTACTAAGACAAGTGCAAAAATCGTTGCTTAAAAATTACTTGACCAGTACCAGTACTCTCAGAACCAATAAAATTTAATTGACTAAACTATTAGTAAATTAATCATTTATCTACAAAAGCATAAAATTGTTAGTAGAAGCATTGGGCTATTTCAGTAAAATAATTTTGTAAAGATTCAGTTGAAATTAGCTATCAGAAGAACACGAATCGACTGTCATTGAACTGTGCAGCGGGTCAACCTGAAGTCGACTGTAGTGAATGTCGTCTGCGCCTTGAACGACATAAGAAGGAGCATAGTAGCAAACTTGGTACAGAATAGCTATGTCTACTGTACATTGCAGGCTAGAGCAAATGTAGAATTGACTAGGCGTGTTCCTCGTAAAGTAATACAAAGTTTTGAAAATGTCGCCACATAACATCATAACTACCATTTTCACAGATAGCCCCAGTGTCGATTTTCTTTCGAAGTTGCGTATCAGCTGGGGTAGCAGAAGTGAGGCCTCCATGCATAGAGCAACAAAACCAAGGGTGTGAACAAAGAGTTCTGATTGGATAAAAAGGTTTGTGAGGAATGCTAAAAATGCAGTAAGAATAGCCAGAAAAATTAGATAATCTGAAAAGTAAGACCACTGCCAGAAATAATCCCAGTCCATGTCAGAAAATCTCTTTCTTCTTTGTTTTGAAGAAACCAGCGTGGTATTTAATCGACATCTAACGCACAGCTCTTGCATTGCTAACATCCCAATTGTTACGAATATGCTCTGCAGCAAAAGAGGAGTCTCGAATCTGACAGCGAACCAAAAACAGAGGCGCAAAATATTGGAACAAATTAGAATTAGACATACATGTGTACTGAAACCTTCTGCGTTACCCGTTTTCTGGATCTGAAGATATTGTGGAATGAACACTACCACTCCGCCAATTACCATTCCAAATATGGCAAGGCACTTGAAAATATGGGCAAGGAAGGCGATTGATGACATACTCAGTGGAACCAACGATAGCAGGGACTGAGGCACTATAGACTGACTGATATGGAACGAGGGTACATTAGACACCGTCTCCGCAAGTTCGTGTTGCGGAAAAATAGGGGCCACTTTCGGATGAACAAAAAGGTTTCGATTGGAGTTGCTTTCAATAGAATTTAGAGGTGAATCTTTTTTGAAAACGGACATTCACTTAATGTAGCATAGTTTTTCTGAAATGAAACGGAACAGGCCATTTTCAACACAAAGTATATAACTGGCGAGAATGGATCTACTGATAAGCCAGTCAGAAAGCCAAATGATCATAGGGCAAAAGAGCCAATGTGTTAGGCATTGCTTTAAACATGTTAGTGAAAATAAAGTTCCTTGTACATATATACGGAAAAACAGCAAAGTTAAGGCCACCGTAAAAAGACGCGGGAATCCACAACGCTTCCGATTTCAAAATTTAAACGATAAAAATAATTTTGATTTTACACAAAACTAAAATAAACAGATCACCAAAACTACTGGGTTTCAGATCTTTGTGAGCAAAACTTTAAAATGGCCGACAGCATACAACTGCTCTTTTCATATTTAAAAACATTTGAAACAGTTTCAATTGCAAAATCACCAAATTCATCAATGAAAACATAAATAAGATTCATAATCCAGCGTAATAATTCAGACTTTTTTCTCAATTTAATCTTAAGTTAAATTTTAAGAAATCAGCAATATTGGCATGAGAGGCCACCTATGCATCCGCTGGTCCCGTCAACGGTAAACAGAAGGTCAATGATATTAAAGTAACCGAGGTTACAGTCAGGAGTCCCTTCATCACGTATTCCAGTCAAAAACCTTGGAAGTTTCTAGTTGTGGAAGTGATAATGATATAAAAAAGTTGATGATAAGTTTTGATGTCCTTACAATTAAACTCGATACGTGTTACGTTTCTTTAATAAGAACACGCAACTCGACACGAGATAATATAATATAGAAATAAAGAAATTTTTGTTAAAAAGTAAATTTCAAACGTTTTCGCAACTATGTGCATCGTCAGGATTTTTACAATAAACAACTCTAAATGACGATAAAACATCAATTTACAAATGTTATTTACAATAAATCACATACAATTTGGTTCTAAACCATCATGATAAAAAATTAGCCAATCACAGTTGACCTCTAAATTACTATTAAGATTAAAATACTTTTAACCTCTAAAATTAATTAAACATTTTAAAATTAATTTGTCTGGAAGTTTCTGAGTCATAATTTCGATTTAGACATGTACGTTTTGAATAAAAAACCAAAAATATTTTGGGACTAAATTTTCAGTGTTAACTCCCTGCTCCTAAACTCATCGCGCGTGTTCAAGCCCGGTTTCTCTTTCCTGATATGTATTGCCTCTAGTGTTAGCAATTTTGTTTGGTTGTTTGACCTATCTATAATTTCCCAACTAAGATCTGCGCTATTTCCCTCAAGTTGGCATTGCTGAAGGTGGAGGCCTACCGGTGAGGCTGCTTTCTTATGTTCCTCAATTCTAGTGGTCAAATGTCGAACACGCAACTGAAAATTAGTTAACACTGAAAATTTAGTCCCAAAATATTTTTGATTTTTTATTCAAAACGTACATGTCTAAATCGAAATTATGACTCAGAAACTTCCAGACAAATTAATTTTAACATGTTTAATTAATTTTAGAGGTTAAAAGTATTTTAATCTTAATAGTAATTTAGAGGTCAACTGTGATTGGCTAATTTTTTATCATGATGGTTTAGAACCAAATTGTATGTGATTTATTGTAAATAACATTTGTAATTTGATGTTTTATCGTCATTTAGAGTTGTTTATTGTAAAAATCCTGACGATGCACATAGTTGCGAAAACGTTTGAAATTTACTTTTTTTGCAAAAATTTCTTCAATTTTACTTGTAAATTCTTGATAAACCAAAAAGCGAAGAGCTTGAAATTCCAACTGTTTTCCCATTAAAGGGCCAGTATAAAAATTTTTAATGATTTTCATCAATGTAATGAGAATTTTTATATCTGTTTTTTTTATCGATACGTAAAAAATGGCCGATTTTTATTTGAGTTACCGAAATGTTTCATATTGTAGCAGCTAGCTCCCTGTTCCACAGCATCAACACCCTTAACACAGGGGAAAAAAAGCAATACGAGAGCCTTGTTACAGCAATTCCTGGCCTATCCCTTAATAACAACTTGCTGAACCAAGGAAAGAACCTCCGACGACTACTGGAAGACAGTCCACTGAAAGAGAAAAAAGTGGTTGTGTGGCACGACGTGGTGAACAACACCATTAGCAGCCACAGAACAAACAACTATCGCCCAGCCGGTGTCGAGGAGCTGACAAACTATTTGAAGACGAAGAAGCAGCAGATATTGGCGATCGTTTATTGCAGAAGGGAAGGAACGCCCGACTTGTTAGGTCAGCTTCTCGGCACAGGGGTGCTCATTATTCCAGCTACAAAACGACTACTTTCCAAGAGCAAGCAAAACAACCCGGAGCAGCTCAAGGAATATTTGAAGCTGCACCAGAGTGCTGATTTGGAGCTGAAATCTCTGCGATTGGTAGTGGCACACAAAGAAAGGCTGTCAGAGCTGATTGGCAATATCAAGGGCAAACAACAGAGACCATCACAGACAAGGAGGAAGGCGAAAGCAAGACGTGAGCAGAAGCTGAGGGCAGAAGAAGTGTCTGCGCTTCAAAGACAGGGGTGAGAAGAGTGTGATTTGTTTTGCTTTGTGCCTTGTGAGTTTCATTACTCGTGGCCTGCAAAACAATGACCACAGTACTTTTGCCTGCAGTTTGGCTCAGACAAATTTTGAAAAGGAAACTAACTTGGAAAATTGTGTTAGACAAATTTGAAATTCTTTCAAAAAGTTCAAGTATCTGTACATAGACTGAAGTTTCTGAGAAAATGTCTGAAAAACGATCTAATACCGGACTGTCTGAAAAATGATCTAATACCGGATAATTTTCAATTGAAACTACTAAGGACTGAAACTTCTAGGGCAAATGAGGATAGGAAAAGGTACGAGGAGATGCTAAGGAAAGCAAGATCACTGGTGCAAAAAGAAATTGACAAACAGTGGTGGGCATCCATTTTCCGATTCGTGAGGCGTCAAGTTGAGGCAAGCTTAAAGACAACATCAGAAAACCATAGAAAAAAGTTAGAAAAACTGTCCGAGAGACAAGATAAACCTCTTGGGGGGAGAAATGAGCGATCAGTTAAGGTACTTGATAATATTGAACTGCCTGAATGGGTATATGAAGTGCTATCAATGGGCCCCAAGCATCCAATTAGAGACAAATTTAACGAAACACATTTTTTGGCGGATATCGACATTTTCCCCTCACAAATGAAAAATCAAAAAACATCTGGTGAAACGTTATGTGAAATAGAAGCCGCGGCAAAGGCATATGCAAAAAACGTACGGCAAACCCCAAGAGACAAAGCCGTTGAAAAAACGAGGAAATATCTCAAAGATAATGGGTTAATGGCTGTGCCTTTTGATAAGGGGGTTGGTTTTTGCATAATGAGGAAACAAACATATGAATCAAAGCTGGAATCCTTGTTGCAATCTGCTCAGTTTGTGAAAAAAGATGCAACCACTGATGAGGTCATACTGAAAATTGAGAAAGAACTTAACAAAGAATTACTAGCCATGAACAAAAGAGACGAGATAAGTGATCAGTTATATTCTAAGATGAGATCAACAGGGGGGCAACCCGCCCGTTTGTACGGTTTAGCTAAGGTACACAATGATGAGACACCCCTACGACCTGTACTATCACTTCCCGGCAGCTCGTATGAGAATCTTAACAAAATGCTTGCAAAGTTTTTTGACAACATCGATGGAGCAAATATAGAAACCAATACTAAAGAGGCTAGAGAAAAAATAGAAAACATTGCTCTAGATCCGGATGAAACCATAATATCTCTTGATGTGAAAAGTTTGTACACCAACGTTCCCCTGAAGGAGGCAATTGAAATTGCTTTACAGAAGCTGTACAGCCAGGAGTCTCCTCCTGAAATTCAAAGAGCAACCATGAAAAGGCTTTTGAATATGGCGGTCAGCAAAGTATATTTCAAGTGTAATGATTCATGGTATGTACAAGTTGATGGTTTAGCAATGGGCGCGTCCCTCGCTGTAATTCTGGCAAACTTATGGCTGAAAGAATACGAATTTGCTCTACGACAACAAATACCGGTGGGAACGGGGGTACAGCAAATTAATGACAAAAACGGCTTGTGCCCATGTTGCAGCAGGAAAGTCACGTATAGATCAAAGGGGGTTGAATGCGAGAGTTGCCGAAACTGGTATCATCTAAAATGCGGAAAAATATCCGATGACGTATACGCATCAATAACCGAGATAGTCTGGTACTGTGAAAGCTGCTGCCGAGCTAAGAACAAGGAGAAGGATACTCCCCAGGTGAAATTGTTCCTCAGGTATGTGGATGACATTGTTAGAACAGTCAGAGGGGAGCCGAGTTGTCTTCTCGATGTCGCCAATTCTCTTCATCCAAATTTGCAGTTCACTCTAGAGAAAACTAATTCGGAGGGGATTTTGCCGTTCCTGGATTTGAACATTAATGTATCGCAGGATAGGCGTGTAACTTGCAGTTGGTATCAAAAACCAACAGATACAGGGACTATACTGAACTATAGAAGCTGCGCCCCAACTCAGTATAAGCGTAGTGTTATCCAAGGCACTGTACACAGGGTTTTTAGGAGTACATCTAGCTGGGAGCAGTTTGATAAGGCTATGGAAACTAATAGGGCGCAATGGCTGACAAATCTGTACCCGGAAAATTGGTCCGCAAAGGTGGCTTCAGACGCCTTGTGCAAGATCATCGAGGGTAAAGGCAAGCCCCTGGATAGTGACAGGGGTTTGTCAGTTCAATCACCAAAGGATGAGAAGCCCCCAATGCTGATGGTGCAATATAGAGGTAACCAGAGCCAATATTTTGCTAACAGGTTACGAAAATTAACGAACGTTCAAGTGGTTTTCACCACAAGAAAACTACAATCATGTTTACCATCACTGAAGTCAGCATTTTCTAATGACCTCAAGTCAAGAGTGGTTTATAAACTGTCATGTAGTGGATGCACTTCCACCTATGTCGGACAAACTGTTCGACATTTGACCACTAGAATTGAGGAACATAAGAAAGCAGACTCACCGGTAGGCCTCCACCTT